CTCAATTGTAGCCATAAGTCAAGGACTACCTGTACTCAGATACAGTCCTAAATCGGATGCCTTTTTAAATTGCTACCAACCTGCCCTCCATGGAGGACTTGTATATTGCACAGGTCAAAAAGGGGGCCGTGAAAATATTTACAGACCCCTCACATCCTGGACATAAACTGTTTCAACTCCTACCCTCAAAACGATGCTCTAGAGCACTGCACACCAGAACAACTAGACACAAGGACAGTTTTTCCCCAAACGCCATCACTCTGCTAAACAAATAATTCCCTCAACAATGTCCAACTATTTTCTAAGACTATTATTCTATATCTATTATTCTTCACTTCCTTCCTATTACCTATCTCCTTTTTTTACTTATGACTATAACTTTGTTGCTTGCATCGTTACAGTTTATATTGTTTTATTTCATTTCCTAGTACGATCATTTAAGTTGATTGCCTTTTAGTATCCTATGACTATCACTAAGTGTTGTATCTTGTGATTTATGATGAACGTATTTTTATGATAACTAGGATCATGATTTATCACTTCTATCTTTTATGTACACTGAGAGCTTATGCACCGAAGACAAATTCCTTGTGTGTTCAATCACACTTGGCCAATAAAGAATTCTATTCTATTCTACTCTAAAGCGTAGGTAGCATTTGTGAATCTTGGCCCCCCACTTTCTCTGTTGACATTTCTAACAATGAAAACAGCACACATCTCTTAGAAAAACACCTGCTTGTGGCTAACCTTGCAGGTAAGGAGGGGATGGCCGCATTGGCTATGTCTCTGCAGGAAACTTATTTGGGCTCTTTCTTTGATTGGAGATCTATTCTATAGTATATACCATAGAAGGGCTGCTGGGAGAAGCAACGGGCTCTTGAGAACGGCTATTTTCCTGAAACTTAAACCCATTGTGATGGTTCTGCCTGAAATTGGGACCACATTTTCTCTGGCTTTTCAATGAGCTTCAGGTGCCGCCGAGAGAGGGGTTAAAGGGAAGCAGAAGGATTACGAGCCTTAAGCACTGCAGGGCAGAAGTTGTCAAACTTTTCTCAGGCCATGGAACCTGCTAGTTAGAAAAGAAAAACAAAATTATCATAACCTCTGGTCAAGAGGCAAAGCTCTGGTGTTAGCAAATTGTCTGAGTGATTATTTTTTTTTTAAAGTATTGTGGAACCCTTCATGGAACACAGTCCGAAATAACCTGTTCTAGCAGGACTTGGAGACATAAGACACTAGGGCCTTTAAAGCATGGGGCACACCTCTCTCTAGAAAGGAAGGGGGGGGAAATAAGAGTAATTTTAAAAGATTACATACCCGAAAAGTGCATTGAAAAAAACAACTATTTGCGATGCTCTGAGTTATATTCACTTACCAAAGGAATACCTGCAAAATAAACAGGAGGAAAGAAAGAGTTAGAATGTTTTGGGAGAGCCAACATTTTGTGCACGTATTTATGAAAACAACCTCTCAGTGCAGGGCAGCAATGAATGTCTCCAAGCTGGAGAGGTTTCTTTCTTTTTGGCCTATGAGGCAACAGTGCCACCAAAATCTGAGGCAGGACACACACAAAAATGGTAGCATAAGACTTCTTAATGGCTATTGAAAAAAGAAAATTCCAACTTAATTGGAATTCAGCTGGGGAGTCCACAAGGATGGAATTCTCTTTCTGATACCTCTACAGAGGGTTTTTTTTTCCCCCTGTGATAGCCAAGCTAAACTTCTCTGCTCAGCTGTCAATCTTTTTGTTTGGTTCCTAAAATTTTCAAAAGATTTAAACATAGGACTGGCCCGTGAGAGAATTATACTGCCATCCAATGCAAGTCCGCATGCTACTTGAAGAATGGAAACACTGCCCCAAATGCCTACAGCAGACTCACAAACAGATCTCAAATGTGTTGGTGCTAGGACTTTAGTTTAAAACAAATGTATTTTTTTTTTAATTTAGTGGCCAATAAATTTAAATAAATAAATAAATCATCATCATAATCATCATCTTAAAACATGGCTTCCAGCTTTAAAACACTGTTAAGACTGAAGCTACATCCAACATTTTGCATGTTGGGAGGGTGAGTTAAGAAAATTCCCCACCCCCATGAAAAAGTGACCTGTTTTGGGGGAAATTACAGAGTTCTTAGAATGAAACAGGCCTCAGAAGTATGACCCACAAAACAATATCCAGACTGATTCGTGCGATTTTAAGAACGTATTTTGAAATCAAAGTGTGTATGAAACTTTGTTTTAACACATTTTTTTTTAGCAGCGTTCCACACGCCAAATTCTTTTTTTTCCCCTTGCAAAAAAGACTTTCTTCTTTCCTTAACATGTCTGCAACAACTTCTGCAACATAATGAACGGTTGCCAAAAAACTGACTGACATTCGATGCTGGTGCCATTTCAGAGGCAACATTGTGATATCAGCCATTGCATGTTCATTCCTGATTGGTGAGGATTACCCAACCACATTAAGAAGGAGGCAACTGTCCCACACACAGAAGAGGGCCAGAAAAAATTTGCTGCCAAGTGGGTGAAAGCAGTGATATGGCAAAACCATTTAGTTCAGTGCCCAATCGCAAGTCAAGGCAAGTCAAGTACACCTGGGAAAGGAGATGCCCACCAAAAGTAGAAAGTCAAACGGCCTAATTCCTATATTTGACATCTCTGAGGAAGGCTATTGACAATATCTGCCTGCAAACTAACAGGGATGTGAATCAATGGCCCCAAGACTGACCTTTAAACATCTTTGGAAGAATTCAGAACAAATTTTACTTGAAACTTTGCTGAGAGTCAATACAGACAAGATGGACCCACTGCTTACCAAGGGGAGCTTTTCAATGTTTTTATAATGGTGTCAAAAAGGATTAGGAAAGAAAACTCCAGTGTTCAAGCAGTGCAACTATTTTTAATAGAGGAAAAAAGCTACTCGGCTGAAAATATTTCTTCCAATCTGTTCAAATTTTGCAGTGGGATTCGATGTCTCCTTCCCCAGGAAGAAAGAAAAAAAAAAAGCCATACTTTTGTTACCCTTCCTGAGTCTTCTGCAAAATGCCATGGATGGCAGTGCATACAGGAATGTTTCCCGACCTTGGCAGCTTAAAGTCCAGTTCCCAAAATCCCCCTGGCTGGCTGGGGAAGTTCTGCAAACGGAGGTCTACCCATACATCTTAATGCTGCCAAGGCTGAGAAACCTTGGCCCGGAGCCTCCTCTGGGAGGCTGAAAAGGGCTTTAAGCCAGCCAAAAAATCAGCTGTGAGGCACAGTGCAGGTAAGCAGGCGGCGTGGGGGGATTGCGCGTATTGCCTTCTGCACGCGCACAATTTTTGGCACAGGAGCCCAAAAAGGTTAGCTAACACTGGCATAGAAGGTGGACCATTAAATACCATTAAACTAGCATTTGTTGTGACACCATCTAGGGCAGCTTCTGAGGGTGTAGATCAGGGGTCTCTGTTAGGAATATAAGTCACCTAACAGGTATTTGGGTTAGACATATATAAACCAGGATAGACATTTTAAAACTGTCTCTTTAAGGGAATGCAAAACTGTAGTTGGGTGTGGTTTCTCAAACGGCCATAAGATGGAGCCAGAAACCTGGGTTGTTTTAGTCTGAGTCTCAGAAGAGAGTGTGTCTGAGTGAGTATTTCTGTTTCCTTCTGTTGGAAAGTATCGCTGTTCCTCCATTCTTCCTAATTGACTGATATTACTGGATTTAATGTAAGTCTGTTACTGAACTGTTTTTTGACACTGGACTTTGATATTTGGATTATCCCTGGATTGAAAACTGACTGGTTTTACCTGTGAATGACTTTGGACTGCTTATTTTGGACTTTGCTTAAACCTTTCTTGAAGTAAAAACCTACATTTACTGTACAGTGTATCTGTGTACTCTGTGTGTATTATTCAAACACTTCTCTCAAATAGGTCTCCCTGTATGCTCTCATTCTCCTAACGGGGAATTACCTCAACAGTCTCCAACCTTGGCAACTTTAATCCTGGAGGACTTCAACTCCCAGAATTCAGCAAAGCTGGCTGGGGGATTCTGGGGTTGAAGTCCTCCAGGCTTAAAGTTGCCAAGGTTGGAGACTGCTGGTGTAGATGGGTTGGGCTTTGAACCCAGATGGGGGCTGGAAGAAAGTCGGGGCGGGCACTGAATTGGAAGCAGAGCCAAAAAGCATGAGAGTGACCAGCCCCAGGCAAACAAATTTCATGGTAGCTCCAGGAGAGACTTGGTTAAAAGTCATCTTTTAAAGTAAGCAGTATCATGCAAAGGGCAAAGAGAGTTCAGAAACAGCAAGAAAAAGAAATGAAGAAGAAAAAGGAAGCACAGCTAAAATTAATTTCCACAGCGTCATTCATCTATAGTACCCCCTCGTCCCTCTCTATCCTTGGAAACGATCTTTGGGTTCCACCATATTCATTCACTGCTTCCATATTTTGTCTTTTGCTCCTTAAATTTCCGGATTCTTTTTCAAACTCTTTATCTATCAACTCCAAACACAACCCTCTCCATCTTCACTCTCCTCTTGATTCGTTCACTCCTTCATCTCTTTGTCTGGTGACTTTTTTGTCCTCTGCATGTGATCAAAGCATTTCAACGTAGCTCCTTTGGAGACATACTTTTCTTTCAATCCTTAATTCATTCAGCACCCTTCGAGGGCTCCTCTTCTGGTTTTTCCACACAGTCTTCTTCAGGATCACATTCCCACAACAGTCAATTCCCTTTTATGAGACCCCTGACATTCTCAATTATCCCTTTCCCTATCATAAAATGGGCAAAGGTTTCATTCCCTCCCACACACAAACATCTATTCCTTGCAACCAACCACATGTCTCCTACAATCAGCATTTGCACATCTTAAAATTTTCCAGTCTACTTTCCCATCGTTAGTAAACATTCTACCAAGTCACACAGATTTATGTACTTACTCTAGTTTTTTGCCATTTATATATAATTTGTCAGAAATGGTGTAGGGTCTCCCACTTGGGTGGGGGGGTTGGACTAGATGACCTACAAGGTCCCTTCCAACTCTGATTATCTGTTATAACTTACAAATTCACTCTTTTTCCTGTCAAACACAACCCCCCCCCCCCAATCTCTGAATTTTTATCCTACATTATTCAGTCTATGTAAAATTTATTTCGAATAGTTTAGGTGCTTCCAAAAAAATGGCATTGCACAGGTAGTCCTGGACTTACAATAGTTCATGTAGTGACCGTTCAAAGTTATAATGGCAATGAAAAATGACTTATGAATATTTTTGAGCCGTGGTGGTATAGTGGTTAGAGTGCAGTACTGCAGGCTACTTCTGCTGACTGTCGGCTGCCTGCACTTTGGCAGTTCGAATCTCACCAGGCTCAAGGTTGACTCAGCCTTCCATCCTTCCAAGGTGGGTAAAATGAGGACCCAGATTGTTGGGGGCAACAGGCTGACTCTGTAAACTGCTTAAGAAGATGGCTTAAAGCACTGTGAAGCTGTATATATAAGCCTAAGTGCTATTGTCTGTCCTTCCTTCCTTCCTTCCTTCCTTCCTTCCTTCCTTCCTTCCTTCCTTCCTTCCTTCCTTCCATCCATCCATCCATCCATCCATCCATCCATCCATCCATCCATCCATCCATGGTGCACAGTGGTTAGAGTGCAGTACTGCAAGCTACTCCTATTGCAATTTGGCAGATCGAATCCCACCAGGCTCAAGGTTGGCTCAGCCTTCCATCCTTCTGAGGTGGGTCAAATGAGGACCCAGATTGTTGGGGGCAACAGGCTGACTCTGTAAACCGCTTAGAGAGGGGTGTAAAAGCACTGGGAAGCAGTATATAAGTGCTATTGCCCTTCCTTCCTTCTTTCCTTCCATCCATCCATGGTGCGCCGTGGTTAGAATGCAGTATTGCAGGCTAATTCTGCCGACTTCCAGCAGTTTGATTCCGACTGGCTCAAGACTGACTCAGCCTTCCATCCTTCCGAGGTGGGTCAAATGAGGAGCCAGATTGTTGGGGGCAAGAGGCCGACTCTGTAAACCGCTTAGAGAAGCAGTAAAGCACTGGGAAGCGGTTTAGAAGTCTAAATGCTATTGCTATTGCTATTTTTCACAGTTACGAATGTTGCAGCATCCCCATGGTCACATGATCAAAATTCAGAGGCTCGGCAACGGTTCATACTTATGACCGTCGCCGTGTCCCAAGGTCATGCCATCCCCTATGACAATTTTTTTTGACAAGCAAAATCAGTGGGGAAGCCAGATTCACTTAAGAACCGGGTCACTAACTTATCAATTGTGGTGATTCACTTAACCAGGGTGGCAAAAAAGGTCGTAAAATGAGGAGAAATAACAAATGTCTCACTTAACAGCAGAAATCCTGGACTCAATGGTGGTCATAAGTTGAAAGACTTCCTGTATACAGTATTGGTATCCCCAACCAATCCAGTTCTAACATCAAAGCTTTCTGTCTGTATACTATTCAATATTTTCCTGCTATCCATTCCAATTTCTGCAGCACTTCCTTTATATGCCTTTTTCCCCTCCTTTCTGCCTCTTCTGTTTCATCGTTTGCCTAATAACCTCCTTTCATGCTTCCGTTCAGCGTAATTCCACAACTTCTCTGGCCCTCAGCAACATCCAATCTTTTCATTCCCTTCCAAACAGCGTGACAGCCACTTTCTTTGCACTTTGTTTCTCTGCTAATTCCGCTGGGAGAGAATCATCCATTCTTCAGCCTGCGGCCATTCTACTTTCACTCCGGTTTCTTTCCCCTTTTCTTCCACGTCCAATTTTCTGCCAAGATTTACTCTTGTGGCTAGCAAGAAATGGCCAGTCCTTCTTTCAGAGCATCTCATGGCCCTGGACCCTTCGCCAATTCTTTCAGTCTTTCCTCACAGGTAATGAAAGCAATACTTTCAGCTTTATAGCCATTCCTTTAACATACATGCATGCATACATAGGGGTACATGTGAATCCACAGATATATCCATATGCATGGGTGCACTTGTGTGCGTGCACGCACACACACGTCTCTGTGTATATATACTGTATGGTGTGTGTGAGTATTATATACAGAGAGGAAGGAAAAACAAGAGGGAGAGGGAAAGAGAAAAAGAGAGGGAGACAGAGAGAGAAAGGGAGACAGAGAAAAGAGAGAAAGAGAGAGGGAGAAAGGGAAAGGGAGAAAGGGAAAGGGAGAGGGAAAAGGGAGAGAGAGAGAGAGAGAGAGAGAGAAAGGGAAAGGGAGGGAGAGAAATGGAGAGGGGGAAAGGGAGAGGAAGAGGAAGAGAAAGGGAGAGAGAGGGAGAAAGGGAAAGGGAGAGAGAGAGAAACAGAATAGTCAGACTAAAGTATTGCAATGCAAGCTCCTTTGCATCTTTGTCGTGACACCGTACACACAAAGAGCCTGCAGCGTCTTGTGCTGCAACGCTGCTTTCCCCATGTTGGCACTCTGCCCCGCGAGGAAGAACCTCGGCGAGGAAACGAAACGGGAGCCTGCAGAGTGGATCATAGGGCGTCCTTGCAAGGAGGCCACAGCAAACCACGTTCACGGCCAAAAACCACCCGATGATTCCCAGGTCCCCTTGGCTTATTTTTCCACGATTCTCATCCACAGCCCACTGCAGCCTCTTTAGGCTGAGATTTCACTTCCACTGACCACGGCACCACCTCATTCTCTGCCCCCAGGTATGCAGTCAGTCCCTCTTGACCCCCAAATTAAGAGTGTGATTTACAAACCCAAAACGGGGACCTTGGAGACCAGGGACGGTCTCTTGATCTTTGTGCAGAGAAAGGCCACAATCAAATCAGATTCCAGGAGAAGCTGCTGGAAGCCCTATCACTCATTTATTTATATTTTAAATGAAGCTCTAACACCTTATTAACCTGAAAGGTGTGTGGAAGAATGAGAAGTCCCTCTAGCAGCTGTTTCCAGCTGCACTTTCTGCCACTTGCCCAGCGAGGAATTTCCCTCGCCAGGATCTGCAGCTCCGGGAACTGTGACTCTTTCTCCAGGCATAAGTTCTTAGGTTAGTTTACAGCTCCCCGCACTGATCCTCACACCTAAACCTGATGGTGTGAAGGTCCAAATCCTCTCTCCAGCTGCCTCCAGCCTATACTTTGTTTTCCTCTAAGTCCCAGGAGGATGCTTGAGACCAGAGGGATGTTCCCGGAGGCCTCGTTCCTCAACAGGCCTGCTTGTTATTGCAAGGAGGGGAGAGACGCCCTTGAGAAACTACCAGGAGGGGGAGGAAAGGGTGCAGCAGCAGCCAGAAAAGCCAATGCGATCCTAAGTTGCATTAAGAGAGGGATACAATCGAGATCAAGTAAGGTACTAATATCACTCTGTAAAGCCTTAGTTAAGGCCATACCTAGAACCCTGCATCCAGTTTTGGTCACCACAGTATAAAAAAAGATGTTGAGACTCTAAAAAGAGTGCAGAGAAGAGCAACCAGGACGATGAGGGGACTGGAGGCTAAAACATACGATGACAGTTGCAGGAACTGGGCCTGGCTAGTCTAGTAAAGAGAAGGACCAGGGGAGACAGGATGGCAGTCTTCCAATATTTGAGGGGCTGCCACAGAGAGGAGGGAGGGGGTCAAGCTATTTTCCAAGGCACCTGAAGGCCAGACAAGGAATAATGGATGGAAACTGAACAAGGAGAGATTTAACCTGGAAATAAGGAGAAATTTTCTGTCAGGGAGAACAATCAACCGAGGGAACAGAAGTTGCCCTCGGAAGCTGTGGGAGCTTCATCACTGGAGGCTTTAAAGAAGAGACTGGACTGCCATCTGTCAGAAATGTTGAAGGTCCCTTCCAACTCTGATTATCTGTTAAATCAGCTACCCTGGAAGAAATTTGGAGAAATCACCCAACCCGATTTCCCTGCAGCCTGCGAAATGGGGAACCCCAAAAGGCCAGTGGTCAGTTCCAGATGCTCTGCTTTGAATTCCTTTGAGGGCAGAAGAGAAAGAGGATGCAGCCATCGAAGTACAGATAGTCCTTGATTTACAACAGTTGGTTTAATGATTGTTTGAAGTTACAACGCCACTGAAAAAAGGGGATTATGACCGTTTTTCATATTTATGACCATTGCAGCATCCCCATGGTCATCATCATCATCATTTTAATGATGGTCATCATCATCATCATTTAACGACCCCATAATCCCTTGCGCGGTAGAGTCTGTGCAACTGAATGGAGCTGGCAGTGTGTTTAGTGGCCGGATGCCCTTCCTGTTGCCAATGCGGAGTTTTGTTCGGCCGATATATTCTCATTGTGCCCAGAAATACCTGCCTCTACCTAGGATCGAACTCACAGCCTCTTGATTGTAAGGCAAGAGCTCCCCCTCTAAGCCACCGCACCACTCCAGCATCCCCATGGTCATGTGATTTACACTTGGATGTTTGGCAACCGGTTCATACTTATGACCATTGTTGTGTCCCAAAGTCATGTGATCCCCTTCTGCAACCTCCTGACAAGCAAAGTCCATGCCAGATTCACTTAACAATGGCGTTACTAATTTAACCGCTGCAGTGATTCACTTAACAACTGTGGCAAGAAAAATCATAAAATGGGGCAGAGCTCACTTAACAAATGTTTCACTTAGTGACATAAATTTTGGTCATAAGTTGAGGACCATCCCCAATTGCTTAGAATATTATCCTTATCGTAGGGAACTCTACCACCAACTTTCCTTACAGCAGTTGTGTCTCAACCTTAGCAACTTTAAGATGTGTAGACTTCAGCTCCCAGGATTTCCCCACCCCTGCCGGCCATTCCCCAGAATCCTGCATGCTGGCTGGAGAATTCTGGGAGCTGTAGTCCACACATCTTCAAGTTGCCAAGAGTGGAGAAACACTGGCTTAGAGTTTCAACATCACCAGGATCAAAACCAGCTAAAAGAGAGCTGAACACGAGGGACCAAACATTCGTACTTGAAATTGGGAATTCTCAGTTCTCGGCACCAAAGACAAATTCCTTGTGTGTCCAACCATACTTGGCCAATAAAGAATTCTATTCTATACTATTTTCTCTATTCTATTTTAATTCTATTCAATTCTACATTATTTTCTTTATTCTATTCTCTGTTATTTTCTCTATTCTATTCTAATTCTATACTATATCATTTTCTCTACTCTATTTTATACTATTTTCTCCTTATTTGTATTCCATTCGATTCGATTCCTTATTCTATTCTGTTATTCTATTCTATTCCTATTCCTATTCCTTCTATTCCATTCCGTTCCTTTCTTTTGTAGCAAGGTGATTTCTTTCCCGTCAGCATCTGATCGCTCAGAAGCCGAGGTCCATGGCCCAGGATCATTGCAAAACCATCTCAAAACCAGGGATGATAATTACTCCCTTCTGACATCAACTAAGATGTAATTTCGGGAACCAAAAATATGCTTCTGATTAGCCTCATTAAGTCTGCCTGCCTGGCAACGCCATGCCTGGGTCACATGGTACTAATCTGTGCTTCATTAATATGTCCTATCAGCTGTGCACACAGCCGACTTTGAAACCGATACCCTGTGGCCTTCCAGATCCACCCCCTCCCGCCCCCCATATCAGAAAGAGGTGCCAAAATCTGCTTCCTCTACAGGAAGGATGGACACCCTCCTGGGATGCTTTAACTTTGGGTTTAGGTTTCTAGAAATCTTTTTTTTTCCTCACTAGACTGGAGAATGCAACTTAGTGCCTTCTGATAAACAAAGGAAATCTTGAAGTTTATTGCCAAAGAAGCAAGCAAATGTAATTTTAAGAAAGGAGTATTATGTTGCTGTTTGTAATGAAAAGCTGCTTTTAGCAGGATGCAAAATACCTCTCTAAAAAAAAGCAAGATCTTCTGTCTAAGTTCATCAAATTGACGAATTATCTGCTGCCATCAATAGTATGGTTTCTTTTTATCTCTTTTTGTATGCCACCATATTCAACAAGAAAAACAAACAGTCCTACCTTATTGTCCTTGACAGGGTCAAACAAATCTTCTCTAGATGAGTTTGGTTCCAACTTTTAGGAAAATCATCAGAGTAGCTGTTAATCTGGCCTCAGGCAAAAGTTTATTTTATCAACCTGGAGCCACAATCAAGAAATAATTATGGATGCTAAATTCTCCAATGTTTCCAAATGAAAGTCCATTGAAAACCTATCCTGAGGAGAACACACTAAGTAGGTTGTTCTCATTTTGAGACGGCAGTGCTGGCGATACCTGGATTTTGATTTTGGCTGGCCTGCCGTGTTCCCATGGAAGGAGGCTAATGCCTTAGAAACTCATCCATACAAAGGCCCTCTTATTCCAAAAATGGCCTAGGCAGCTTATGTTAATACTTAGCTCAACAGTTAAAAACTTCCTACTTCTTTAAATCACCCCATAACAAAAGAACTGCTGCATAAAAACACAATGCAGCAGGAGTCAAGCTATTTAAACATTGAAAGGGCACAGATTAAAACAGAAGACTTAATTGAAAGTGCACACTTTCCTTTCTGAAAAGGAATTTACTGTAATTTACCACCTTCTGGAAGTTATTAATGGGGAAGTGAGACAGGTGCCCTTGACAGGGAGTTTCTGAACTCAAATACAAAACTCGATTTTGGAAGAATAATGGTTACGGTCCTAAGAATTACCCTTTTAAAAGGGTCGATCTGGGTGTTCTTCATTTAGAAATATTTTTAAATATGTTCACCACATACATTTTAAAAATATGTTATTCCCATCCTTATCCACAAATGTATAGGAATCCTTATTTAGCAATTACAATTGGTTTGGCAACCTTAGTAAGACCACACCTAGAATACTGCATCCAGTTTTGGTCACCACACTATAAAAAAGATGTTGAGACTCTAGAAAAAGTACAGAGAAGAGCAACCAGGATGATTAGGGCACTGGAGGTTAAAACATACAATGAACAGTTGCAGGAACTGGGCCTGGCTAGTCTAGGGAAGAGAAGGACCAGGGGAGACAGGATAGCAGTCTTCCAGTATTTGAGGGGCTGCCACAGAGAGGAGGAAGAGGTCAAGCTATTTTCCAAGGCACCTGAAGGCCACACAAGGAATAATGGATGCAAACTGATCAAGGAGAAATTCAGCCTGGAAATAAGAAGAGATTTTCTGACAGTGAGAACAACCAACCAATGGAACAGAAGTTGCCTTCGGAAGTTGTGGGAGCTTCATCACTGGAGGCTTAAAAGAAGAGACTGGACTGCCATCTGTCAGAAATGGTGCAGGATCTCCTGCTTGGGTGGGGGGGTTGGACTAGATGACCTACAAAGTCCCTTCCAACTATGTTAACCTAGCCATTAACCAAAATGGTCACTAAGTGATTGGGCTTGTGATCTTACTATCAGCTTTCCTTTCCTCTGCCTGTGAAGGCCATAAATGTAAGAATTGGTTGCAAAGTTACTTTTGTGTCACTGTTGTTGCTGCAAACTGTTGCTAAATGAGGCAATTGCTAAACAAGGACTGCCTGTATTCATTATTACCCTATAACAGATAAGGCCATATGAGATAATACATAATTATCTCAGAGATGCTTGGTGAAAGTAGAATAAGTAGATTCCCTAGGACTCCGTTCTGCCTCATGATGATTTTTCAAGTGGTGACAAAAAAGCTAGAAATCACAGTACTCATTGGTGTGTGTCCAATTCACATCCTTGGGAAACCAGACAATAAATTTTGTACCCTGGGCTTCTACCAGTTGACTCCTGTGGTGCTAAACCTCACCTCACACCTTCTCTCCCATGCCAAGAATCTTAAAACAAATCCCTTTCTCCTTGAACATGTATTCTGAGACATATTTGTGGTGCTCCAACTCCTTTAACGCATTAAGTCTATTTGCTCAAGGGAGCAGCTTGAGTCTTTGTACTTTGTGGTTTGTGTAACACCAGGTAGTTGTGGTAGATGGACTCTGAGGCTTGCAGGCAGAGTACCTGGGATGCATTAGGGCCCACAAGATGGACAAAGGATGTTAGAGAAGGAGTTTTGGGGAAATTAGAAGCCCCTCTGCACATTGTGAGTGTTTCCCTTCTGGAGGGAAATTTTCATATATATTGTAGGCTAGACAATGAAGAAGGAAATATGAAGACATGTAAACAGCTGCAGGCTCTATTCCAAGAGATGGGCCTTAAAGGAAATGAATGCAACCGTACCAGAAGTGTCTTCCTTTGGACCAGAACAACAACAACAAAGGATTAAAAAATAAAAACCAGGACAATCCCATCAACATCCTCTTGCCAGTTGGATGGAAGTTGAAAAGAACTTGCAGTGAAATCCACAGCGCTTGGCATCCGAAATCTCCTACCCCCAAAACAAACAGATAGATGCTTTAAAAATTAAAATAAGGGACTTAAAAAGAATAAATTGCCCCTTGCTGGCAGAAATGAAAGGGGGAAGCTCCAATTTATCTACCTTTGAACTGGCTTCCCATTACTAGCTCCATACTGTCCATCCAGCAACGGAAGGTTTTGATTCCAACAAGGAAGACGCAGCACAGGCTAGAAAACAAAAGACTGGAGATGTCCATCCAGGTGCACAGATTTGGGTGCCAAGAAAAACCTCTCCAGATGTTTCTGCCTGTGTGAGAACCCACCCCCTCTTGCTTTCCGGTCAGCATATCCGTAGCAGACCAGAATTCCTCCTCTGAAAGGGATAAATTCACAGGAAGAGGGAAGCTCAAACTGTGTGGACAACTTCAAGATCTGCTGTGGCTCTTCTGCACTAGAGAAGGTTCATTCCATTCCCCATCCCATCCAGAGCCACAGAAGAGCTGGGTCTCCCCGGGGCTGGATCTCTTTCCTTCCACGAGCAGGGTGGGGTGGCAGAGTCTAGCCAAAGAGAGAGGAAGTTGGGAGAAATTAATCCAAGATAAGCCTAACAAAGGATTTGACAAGAGGAGCTGAGGAACAGGAGAGCCAAGGTAAACAGAGACCTCAGGAGCGGAAAGAGTAGACACGGCTTAAAAACAAAAACAAAAAGCAGCTTGTGCACCACGACGGCTAACCACAAGGAAGACTTCTAGAATACAGGTAGTCCTCGGCTTACAATGGTTCGTTGAGTGACTTTTCAAAGTTACAATGGCACTGCAAAAAGTGACTTATGACCATTTTTCACACTTACAACCGTTGCAGCATCCTGGTCAGGTCGCACATCGGATGTATGTTCAGGTTTTAACAAACTGACATGAAAGACAGGGTGACTCCGTCTAAGCGTCTTTGGCGATTGCAATTGTACTGCAACGGGATTCACAATTAATACAATTGGGAAAGGTCCCCCATAGTTAGGTTTTTAGATTTCTGGATTGTTTGTAAATACTTAGTGGACAAGAAGACTTTATAGCCCACTTGGTATAGCTTTTGTGGGGCTCTCTTTTTGTCTGCTTGCTTTTTATGAGCTTGGTGAGCATCATCTAAGTCCTGACAAACCTTAACTTCTTTTAAATGTTTTATATTGTCTTTGGTATGTTTATTTTCCTGTTGCTTTATTTTTCTTTTTCTTTTCTAGGGCTAAGGCCTCTTTTGCAGGAGGCCCAAACGTCAGCCTCCAAGAATCCTTCTTCTATTTGTCTTTCCAAAACTGCCATAGAAAGGGGGGGGGGATTAATTGGACCTTGCAGGGGGGAGGGGAAGAGTGCTGGGGGCTTGTGATGGTGAACTGTAAAACTTGGGAAAACTTTCTTGACTATGCTTGCTTGCTTACTGCACAGCTGTAGCCTCTTATCTATTCAGGCCAAAGTCAACCATCCTGGCGAGCCAGATGTCTGAAACACCACCTGAGGATGCCCCACATGACACCATACACATCTCAGACTGGATGGCCAGTCTGAACTATTGGGGGTGGCATAACTATTGGCATAACTTTCTATACGCGATTTTCGCACCTTATTGCTTCACATGGTCACGTGATTAAAATTCAGCCGCCTGGCAACTGCTGCATAGTTATGACGGTTGCAGGGTCCCTTTTGCAGCCTTCTAACAAGGAAAGTCAATGGGGGAACCCAGGTTCACTTAACAACCGGGTTACTAACTTATCAGCTGCAGTGATTCCCTTAACAACTGTGACAAGAAAGGTCGTAAAATGGGGTGAAACTCGCTTAACAAATGTTTCATGGAACAACATAAATGTTGGGCTCAGTTGTGGTTGTAAGTCAAGGAGTACCTGAATATGAAAGCTGCCTGCCAAGTGCCTGAATTGCAGTCATGCGGTCACAGGTTGGTGGTTAGCTCAGTTGTAAAATGCATGGACTGGACTTTTTTCAGCACTATCGTAACTTGCATCAGTCATTAAATGAATAGTCAGTCCTAAGTCGAGGACCCTGTTGGACTAAACCTCACTTAACTTTTCAAGACCCAGCTGAGAGCTGCTACCTAGCTTCCTAGAGTCATCCAAGCACTTTGAGGGTTCAAAACGAAAGGAATTTTTTTCTTTATTTCATGTGGTCAGCGAAGGTCAAGATTCACTCAAGAGTCTTTACTTTCTTAAATTGCAATTTCAAGAATCAGATACGATTGGCTCAAGAGGATTCTTCAGAAAGGCTTTCGAAGGAAATAAACATGGTGGGAATTCCCAGCTTCTGTGGAAGATCAAGTAAAATTATTTCCCCCTAGAACCTACCCAGTTCCAACTTCCATTGGAAAGGAGTTTACAATCAGGCTGGGGGGAGGGGGGAACTGTGCTAATGATCACCCCAAATTCCCATTTGCATCATCCACAACCATCTCTCTAAGCAACTGTCATCGCAGTGTAAACACAACAATAATGACATGGTCTTGACCCCTTGCTGGGAATTTGAATAATAAAAAAAACAACAACCCACCAAATATAACCACAACCGAACAATCTCAGGAACAGGATCCTTTTCACACAGCTCTTTCCCATATTGTGCTATCACTAAAATGAAGATAAATGGAGAGTAGGGTAAAAGAGAAATTTCTCTTCCTTGTCTTATCATCCCCCTTGATCAAACTGCCATTAACTCTTGATCATTAAAGCTACCGGTTGCCATAAATTACCTGGTCTAACACGGACTCCGTCCCTTTGCACAAACAGAATGGAGAATGGTTACCCCAAGTAACCTTAGTCTAACAATCCACTCAAATATCCAGAGCAATTTCTAAAAAAAAAAAAAAAAAAAACCCACAGAGCTAGAGAGAACCATGTGCATGAAAGGAGCTGCTTTTCGGAAGATGTCTTGAAAGAAAGAAGATTGCAAGCAACAGACTCAGCTCGCATCTCCGTTTGGGAGAGCAAGTGTGCACAGCGATCAGCCAAGGGTGCATAAACGGCTCAATGCCGGGACCTGGGAGCTCTTGACGAAAGAGCTCCTACCAGTTCTTTTATTTATTTATATATTTGTGGTGCAGTGGTTAGAGTGCAGTGCTGCACTCTATTTGGCAGTTCAAATCCCACCAGGCTCAAGGTTGACTCAGCTTTCCATCCTTCCGAGGTTGGTAAAATGAGGAGCCAGTTTGTTGGGGGCAATATGCTCACTCTATAAACCGCTACATTAGTTACTGATAATGGGACTGAGTTTGTTAACAAAAGATTCCAAACTATGTTGAAATTGGCTGGTGTTGAGCATAAACGTTCTGCACCTTACAGACCACAACATAACTCGTTTATAGAATGAAGAGGGCAAACATTACAAGCCATGGCTCGCACTCTGTTATCTGATTCAGGTTTACCTGAAACACTGTGGGGTGAAGCCATAATGTGTAGTAACCATGTTTTGAACAATGTAGTTAATACAACAACTGGAGAATTGCCATTCACTCTTTGGCATGGCAGAAAACCAAATTTAAGTTACCTACACACATTTGGAGCTCCAGCATGGGTGCATATTCCCTCACAAGTAAGACTGAAAGGGCAACGTAGAGCTAAGAAGTTATTTTTTGTGGGTTATGAGGCCAACCATAGATCATTTAGATTCTGGGAACAAGGCACAGCTCATGTTTATTGTAGTACTAGTGCAAAATTTCTTGAGCACGTTGGATGGGATAAACTGGAACAGGAATCCAGCAATGATATTATTATTGACACCCAAATAGTCCCTAAAGATAAAAGCAGTAAACCACGAATAGCCATTAAAGAGGAAGCACAGGAGGATGTAGTAGAACAGGCACAGGAGGAGGTAGAAGAACAGGATCAGGTGGCACAGGAAAGTCCACCAGTTAGCCCTGTATTACCAAGACGTTCAACCCGAGTAACATGACCACCTGATAGATATCAGGCTAGTGTTGTATGCCAAGTGAATACAGTTCCAAGTAATTATAGTGAACTAAAACTGTATCCTGCTAAGGATCAGGCTGCTTGGCAGAAAACAATGGATAAGGAACTGGAATCATTAAAAAGACTGGAGGTATACGAAAATGTTAAGTTACCACCAGGTAAACATGCCATAGGATGTAAATGGATATATAAACTTAAGACAGGTGTAGATGGGACTGTTACCCATAAAGCCAGGTTAGTAGCACAAGGGTTCAATCAGACAGCAAATGACTATGATGAAGTGTTTGCACCTAGTCTGAAGGCTACTACATTAAGGGCAGCATTAGTGTGGGCAGCTAAGGAGAAATACATTGTAAATCATTTGGATGTAGAAACGGCATATCTGCATGCACCGTTGCAATACACTATATATTTAAAGAAACCTTTAGGTCTCAAAAATGATAAAGATGATAATAATGATTGCTGGAAATTGAAAAAGAGTCTTTATGGTTTGAAACAATCAGGATATGAGTGGAACCAATACAATACAATCTAATGTACCTTTGCAGAATCGCTTTTTCAGTTAAATTTTTACCCATTATCTCTGAATAAGTCCTGTTTCTTTACATCTTGCTCCACACCTTTGTAGCTTCCCTTCCTTCCTCCCTTGCTTCTTCTCTCTGCCCTTTTTACCCGCTTGTCTCTCCACCTCCATTTCCCTCTTCTGTGTTCCCCTTTTCTGTTGCTTTCTAACATTATATCCACTTTTCACCTTATTTTTCCCTTTTTTGGTTGTTTTTTTAGGTCTTAAATTCTCCATTCTCTTTCCCCCCTCTTTCCCCTTTCTTCCCCAGATAAAGTTACTTGTTCATTAAAGATGGCTTCTTCTTTGTCCCAATCTTCTTGTTGCACAGTCTTTTCTTGTAGTTTCTCATAGGTACAGATCGCCATTTCTAAGAATTGAAAAACGGAGCCAAGAGAGCCCTTCCCTTCTTGTTCCTCTTCTTTATATTTTTTAAATTCCATTTTCAGTTCATCCACAAGTGATGCCATTGTAAAAAAAAATTAAACAGCCACCCAAGTGTCTTTAATCATTCAGATATAATTTCCAGAAGTCCCAAAGTCACCAAGCAATCCAAATAGACACAAGCTGTTTCTTTTAACACTTTCTTCTTTTTTTCACTTTCTCTTCCTGGGATTAGTATTTAGTTACAAAGTTCCAGTTAAAATGTATCTTTTAGAAGTCTTATTAAGATTTAACTTTAGATTCTTTTGGATTCCAGGCAGCCTCCTCCTTCCAGATCCTACTCATATTCTTTTCCTCTCCCTTCCCACTTACAGCAAAAAAAAAATAGTGTTCAGAAATCTTTATTGTCCCCTTGGCATTTAATTTTCCAGTTTAATTACCTATTGATGCCAAAGCGGATTTTTCCAATTTCTCATTCATCTCTCTTCGCTGTCAACGTAAGGAAGGAGAGTGAAAAAAAAAAAACTTTCCCTTTTCACTTTCATTCGCTGCTTCCGAATCTTCTTTGGGAGCGATGTATCTTTTATAAAATTTAAATTCCAGGATACCTTAGTTGTCGCTTCTTATCCCGGTCAGCCAAAACTTTCACTTCTTAACTTCCTCCTGCACTTTCTTTTCCGGATGAGTGCTTCTTTGAGGCGGCCATTTCTGACCGCCGCTCTTACCGCCTTTGGGAAAGGGAGTTTAGCCAGCTGAGGAGGAAAGATGTGGATTTCCTCGACCCTGCTGGAATCTCCCCCCTCTTCACCATCTCTACGGGGTGGCTTAGCCCCGAAGCCAGCTGGCTCGGGGCGCTCCAGCGGCGAGCCCAGGCAGAAACCGCGCATGATCGTGGATTACTGCATGCCGCCAAAGCCCTGCAAACCGGAAGTCTCCGCCAGTGGCATAGTCTTGATGTAAGACTGGCCCTACGCATATATTTAGAACACACAGCACCCCTTCAAAAGACAGAGGCCCTCTTTGTTTCGTTTCAGCCTAAGACTCAGGGGCGCAAGATTTCCTCTTCAACAATTGGTAGGTAGTTGAGAGCCTCAATCGCTAAGTCATATGAAACTCATTCCCTTCCAGTGCCCCATTTCTTACTAAAGTGGAAAATGGAGGACGAACAAGAAAAAGACACAATGGTACAATGGGAAAAACTTTTGGCTATAATACAGAATTAAGAAATGGCAAAACTTATGGGAAAGGAACTATAAATTAACAATGGCAGCTTCTTATAAAGAAAATTTATATCAAATGGTTTATAGATGGCACTTACCATCTGTTAGGTTAGCCAAATGTTTAAAAATATGTCTAGCAAATGTTGGAAATGTAACCAAAAAAATGGGCACATTTTATCATTTGTGGTGGACTTGTGTAAAAGAAAAAAAAATGGGCAAAAATACATAGGTGGATAGAAAATTTGATTCAGAAAATATATAGTTTTTAAACCTGAACTGTTTTTATTAGGCATAATAAATAATCAGAAAAACTTGATAAGCAAAGTATATATCTAACATTACATGTCCTAACAGCGGATTATATTCACACAATATTGGAAAAATGAAGAAACACCATGAGACGAAGAGATAATTAGGAAGATACTGGACTGTGCAGAAATGGATAGACTTATATTGAAAATCAAACAGAAAGAAAACACAGAATATTATCAAACATGGAACTTATTTTACCGGTGGTTGGAAAAATGGGATGGAGATTAAGAATGTAATTTGTATTGTTCAGTAAATTAAAGATCCAGACAATATGATGCTTATTAAGCACTAACAAATGTAAACAATGGAAAATTAATAAATCGTATTAAAAAAGAAACAAGTTGGCTTACCAGATCTGTCCCACGTTAATTAAGGAGAGGTAGATCATCCACACAGCAGCCATCAGAATCATGTTGGCACATCCAGTGACCAGGACAAAAGCCGAGATGGCCAAACCAATGAGAGCGAAGGCATCAAGGATGCTGTCCATGCTGGACCAATCCAAGAACCAAATCAGGGTTGGGGCATAGCTTAATGTCTCCATGTTTATTCTGCCCTTGAAATGGCGCTTCACATTCTCCAAGTACAGCTTGCATGGCAGAAGGCCTCGATCTCCAATGAGGGCTTTGTTTTGATGGTAGGCAACCAGAAAGGCAACAACTGGAAGGAACAACAACAATAGTGAGGAGGAATCCAAAGAAATCAACAAGCTACCTTTGAACAGGAGAACTTCTGTAGGAATTGAATAACATAGAATAACAGAGTTGGAAGGGACCTTTAGCTCATCCAACTACATGGACAAGCAGGAGAACCTATACCATTTCAGATAAGTTATTGTCCAGTCTCTTCTTAAAAACCTCTGGTGATGAAGCATCTACAACTTCTGAAGGCAAAGCTGTTCCACTGGTTGATTGTCAGGAAATTTCTCCTGAGTTCTAGGCTGCTTCTCTCCTTATTCAGTTTCCATCCATTGTTTCTTGTCTTATCTTCTGGTGAACTATTGGTAAATAGTTTGAGCACCTTCATCTTCATTAACATGAGCCAGCAGTGTGTGGCAGCAGCCATAAAAAGCTAATACAATCCTTGGTTGTATAAACAGAGGCATAGAAGCAAAATCAGGTGAAGTATTAGTACCACTTTATAAATCCTTAGCAAGGCCATACCTAGAATGCTGCATTCAGTTTTGGTCACCACATTATAGAAAAGATGTTGAGACTTTGGAAAAAGTGCAAAGAAGAGCAACTAAGATGATTAAAGGCCTGAAGACTAAAACATATGAAGAACGGTTTGGGTTTGAGCAAGAAGGACATGATAGCAGTATTCCGGTATTTTCAGGGCTGCCACAAAGAAGAGGGGGTGAAATTATTCTCCAAAGCACCAGAGAGCAGGACAAGAAACAAGGGATGGAAACTAATCAAAGAGAGAAGCAATCTGGAATTAAGGAGAAACTTCTTGACAGTGAGGACAATTAACCAGTGGAACAGCTTTGCCTTCAAAAGTTGTGGGGGCTCCATCACTGGAGGTTTTTAAGAAAAGACCGGGCAGCTACTTGTCTGAAATGGTATAGGTTCTCCTGCCTGAGCAGGGGGCTGGGTTATTCTATTCTATTCTATTCCTATCATCAATGACAAGCTGGAAACAAGACAGACAGACAGACAGATCAAAGCCATATAGGATGTCATATAAAGAGTGCATTCACACACTTGAATTAATATTCTCTCCCTCAAAGTTTGGAAAAATGATTTCCCTGACACAAGTAATTTGGAGCAGTTGCCTGAACGCATCAGTTGAAATCTTCTGCCTGCATAAATAAGAGATTGTCATCAAAAGCAGGGATAAATAACAGAGACCCTGCATGAAAGTGCTGAGATCAGCTTTTGTGGCCTCTCAAATATCTACCAGGGCTAGGTTTACTGGCACGCCATGAGAAATCAAATCGTGGTTACTTGCAGGTTTTTTTTTTTTAAATGGAGAACAACTAAAAACATATCCCTCCTCCACCATCAGCAGCCAATAAGCCTTGGAGAAGAAATGAGACAACTATAATCTGTTCATATTCGAAATGTCATCCCCTGTCCGAGTGGAGCCTTTGGCCATCCCATCAGAAGGTATCCGACTGAACCCAGGACCTTCCTTCATACAATTCCCTCAAAATCATCTTGTTTAAAAATAAAAATTCGCTTCCTTGGTATGAGAGAGGAGGGTCATGTCTTCCACAGCCTAATTAACTTTGATTAACATGGCAATTTGCTAAGGAGATTTTCTTGCAAGTGGCAATCAAAACCTACCTCAAAATTGCTGCCCTACCCAACTAAACTGCTCATCAGCTGCAAAAATGTCCAAATTAGACCCCAGGCTTAAGTGCAAACATAAACAAGAGAAGAGCAAATTAGGGAAAAGTACACATTGCCCAACTGGGTAAGGGAGCAAAAAAAAAGAGTGCACACTGTATTTACATGCAGGTTACACAAAAGAAAACTTTAAGGAGGACACATTTAAGCCACAAGAGATTCTTTCCTTCAGTGCTGACACCAAGTCCTTCTTCCAAAATAAAAGAAGCACCCTTGGGAATAAATAAAATATTGAGGTAAAAAGATGGAAGGCATATCATGGGCCTCTTAACAAGATGTAATAGATCAACAAGGTCTCTAACAGGATAAAAGGTTCATCCAAATCGATCTCGCCTTCTCCCCAAACCTAAGGCCAGCTAGCCATCAAGACAATATTTTTAGTGAAGTAAAAAAAAAAATTAGCCAAAAGTCCTCTGTTTTTCCTTCAAAGGGCACGGTTCTTTCCATCGGCCCACTGGTGGAATTCAGGCCTTCAAACAACTGACATGGCCGCCCAACTTAAACATTGCAACTCCAGCATTTGGCGTAGCTGCCAAAGAACAAAAGCTTAAAAATCCAAGTTACAATCCAAAACGTTGCTGGGCAACCAGGAACTCATTTTTATATGTCTCCACAGAGGGGAAGTCCAACTATCCAGGGCCTGAGGAGAAAGCCAAGTTTTCATAGACCTACTGAAGGCCAACTGGATTGAGGCCTGCCATATCTCGGGGGAAGAGATCATTCCAGAAGGCACGGGCCACCACAGAGAAGGCCTGCATCCTGCATCCAGGTTTGGGGGCTGGAGGTTAAAACCTATGAAGAACAGTTGTAGGAACTGGGTATGTCTAGTCCTGTGTTGGCGAACCTATGCCACGCATGCTGGAAGTGGCATGCGGAGCCATTTCCCCTGGCACGTGAGAGCTTGCTCGGAGGAGCCCCACTGTGCATGCATGTGCACGCCACCACCTGACAGTTGATCAGCTGTTGGGTATTTGGCGGACATGCACAGGGGGCAGAGGGGAGTGTGCAGGAGATGCGCACGCATGCGCAGAGACATGCTGCGTGCAAAGGGGAAACGTTCGTGCATGCGCAGATGCACGGCACATGAGGGAATCATGCAGGCATGCACATGGAGAGTGGGGGGGCAGCACGCATTGCCTTCTGGGTGTTGGCACACAAGCGTGCACAATTATCAGCACAGAAGCCGAAAAAGGTTAGCCACCACTGGTCTAATCTGATGAAAAGAAGGACTAGGGGTGACATGACAGCAGTCTTCCAATATTTCAGGGGCTGCCCCAAAGAAGAGGGAGTCAAGCTGGATAGTCAAGCTATTCTCCAAAGCACCAGAAGGCAGGACAAGAAGCAACAGATGGAAATTAGTCAAGGAGAGAAGCAACCTAGATCTAAGGAGAAATTTCCTAAGAGTGAGGAAAATTAACCAGTGGAACGATTTAGTCTTGATCTCGGAGGGATTTCAGATGAAATCTTAGTAAGACCACACTTGGAATGCTTCATCCAGTTTTGGCCATATAAAAAAGAAGCTGAGACTCTTGGAAAGAGTGCAGAGAAGAACAACTAAAATGATTAAATGCCTGGAGACTAAATCATATAAAGAACGGCTGCAGGAACTGGGTGTGTCTAGTCTAATGGAAAGAAGGACTAGGGGAGACAGGAGAGCAGCAGTGTTCCGATATCTCAGGGGCTGCCCCAAAGAAGAAGGAGTCAAGATATTCTCTAAAGCAGTGGCCCCCAACCTTTTTTGAACCAGGGACCGGTTTCACGATTATTTATTCTTCCACAGACCGGTACCTGAGTAACGTGAGACTCCACTGCCATCGGGACGGCTCTTCGTTCGAAGCCGCCCCCCCACCTTCGACGAAACTAAGGCGCGAGCACCCAAACGCCACTTTCCAACCGAAAACCCGGAAGCATCGTTGAAACAAGATGGCAGCGCCCAAGCTTTGCGGCCCGGTAAAAAATGATCCACGGACCGGTACCAGTCCGGGGACCGGTGGTTGGGGACCCCTGCTCTAAAGCACCTGAGCGCAGGACAAGAAGCAACAGATGGAAACTAATCCAGGAAAGAAGAAACCTGAAATTTCCTGACATTTCAAACAAGTAATCAATGGAACAACTTGTCCCCAGAAGCTGTGAGTGCTCCACATATGACTGTTGCAGCATCGCCATGGTCATGTGATTAAAATGCAGATGCTTGGAAAGTGGTTCCTATTTGTGACGGCTGCTGCACCCCAGGGACATGTGATCCCCTTTTGCGACCTTCTGACAAGCGAAGTCAATGGGGAAACCAAATTCACTTAACAACCGGGTCACTCACTCAACAACTTGCAGCGATTCACTTAACAACTGTGGCAAGGAAAGCCATAAAATTGGACAAAACTCACTTAACAAATGCTTCCCTTAGCAATATAAGTTTTGGGCTCAACTGCGTTCGCAAGTCGAGGACCACCTGAAAATTCCAGGATGCTCTGATTGGCAGGTTTGGGCCTGTCCCCACTCCGGTGCTTCCTACCCCAGCTTCAACTTGTCAGGACAGAGGGAGGAAGAAATCGCATCCTCCATGCTCCATGAAGATGCAATGACGCGAAATGCAAAGCCTTCCTGCCACACAATGCTTTCTTTCTCTGCTCTTTTTTAAAACAGAAAATGGGAAGAAGAAGGGGGGGAAAAAGCCCTTAACTTGGATTTGAAGATCAAACCACTGAGAGAGGGAAACCCCCCCCCCCCCCCGCAAGAGTCACAATGTTTGCCGTGAAAACCAAATCATATTTTAGACACACACACACACACAGAAAAGAGAAAAACGCCTGCAGGTTCAAATTGACCACACCACCAATCTGATCTGAAGAAAAAAGTTATTTCAGGCCACTAACTGAAGCTTATATAAAAGGCAAGAAAGAATATAAGTTTCCACCGTCCAAATAAATCCATGCAGGAAAGTTTCAATATTACACTTGCAGGAAAGTTAGCTGTGAAACCATTACTGGTAGTCCTTGACTTACAACAGTTAGTTTAATGACCATTCAAAGCTTACAACGGCACTGAAAAAAGTGACTTATGACCATTTTTACACCAATGACGGTTGTAGCATCCCCAGGGTCATATGATTAAAATTCAGATGCTGGGCAACTGACTCCATTTTATGACGGTTACAATGTCCCGACCCTCTGACAAGCAAAGGCAATGGGGAAGCCAGATTCTCTTAACAACCGTGTTGCTAACTTAATAATTGCAGTGACTCACTTAACAACTAACCAAAGAGAGAAGCAACCTGGAATTAAGGAGAAACTTCCTAACAGGGAGGACAATTAACCGGTGGAACAATTGCAGGGATTCCCTTAACAACTATGGCAAGAAATGTCATGAAATGGGGCAAAACTCAGTTAAAAATATTTCAGTTAGCAACAGATCTATCTGACCCTATCCCGTCAGAGCTGAAGAAGCTTCTTTGGATGAGAAGCGAAATGTTTTCAAAGAAAAACAAGAAAGTCCCCTTGCCTCCTGAGAAAGCATCTTTGGGGCTTAGCAACCAAAACGTTGGGCTCAATTGAGATCCTAAGCCTCGGACCACCTGTATTTCCTTCAGTGTGTCTTAAGTGCATTTCCTGTGGATTTTTGCAGAGTCTATCTCTGAGCGACAGGTAGAAAAACACTTACCACATGCTCCTGTTTTAAGCATTCCTCTCTAAGAGGCACAGGATGCTCGTCCAATGATTGGTTCCCCATTCTTATCACAAGAATCCAGCAAGATTTATTTATTTTATTTTAGAAATTTTCTAAAAGTGAATAAAAGAAAATAATAACTTAATAAAAATAATAGTCCCACACCCACCCCAACAACAGCACATCTCACAAGCTCTGGGTTCCCCAGGCCCGCTGGCAGAACCAGGTCTTCAGCACCTTCCGGAAGAGTATTAAAGTGGGGGCTGTTCTAATCTCTGGGGGGATGATGTCCCACAGAGAGGGAGCCACCATGGGGAAGGCCCTTCTTCTGGGTCCCACCAGGTGTATCTCCCTAGGGCAATGGTGGCTAAACTTTTTGGGCTGCCATGTTGAAAATTGCATGTGCTTGTGCGGGCGCATTTGCATGCCAACACCCAGAAGGCAATGCGCGGGGGCCACCCCCACACCTCCTGCACATGTTTCTGCACATGCCACAAGATCCCCGTGTGCCATACACCTCTGCGGATGTGCGTGAGACCCCCGCGCACACCATGCATCTGCACGTGTGTGAGACCCCCCATGCGTCATGCATCTCTGCGCATGTGCGCAAACCCCCCTGCACATACCACGCATCCCTGCACATGCACATGAGAACCCCCAAATCGGCAACCAATGCAGCTCCTGCAGGAGAGGTGATACATGTGCACACTGGGGTCTGCATAAAACCATGCGGGCCGCTGCATTTTGCACCAACTGGAGCTTCCGGATGCTCTTCAAGGGCAGCCCTGTGTAGAGCATGTTGCAATAGTCAAGATGGGAAGTGACTAGGGCATGAGTGCAGTTGAGAAATAAGAGCCTGGCCAAAGCAGTTTAAGATGCTTCCCAGATGGAATGATTACAAAAGTAACTTATTGGGGTCAACAGCCATAGGGATTTCCACACCAAAGTGACACAAAATGGAAAAAAAATGCAACATATTCAAATACAGAACATAACAAACTGCAGTAATCAACCTAGCCTGCAGTACACTGTTTCCAAGTTTTGATGGCTGAAAAGAAACCTAGCCTTTGTTTCTATAATATGGTTATATTTGTGGAAAACAGCAACAGTTACCACTACGAAGACTATAAGAATATTTTAACAAGCGCCGCAAGCCTTAAATCTTTATTAAAAAAATAGGATAGGATAGGATAGGATAGGATAGGATAGGATAGGATAGGATAGGATAGAATAGAATAGAAATAGAATTCTTTATTGGCCAAGTGTGATTTGGACACACAAGGAATTTGTCTTCGTGCAAATGCTCTCAGTGTGCATAAAAGAAAAGATACATTAGTCAAGAATCATCAGGTCCAACACTTAATGATAGTCATAGGGTACAATAAGCAATCAAATCATACTAGGAAAGAGTCCATATAAATTGTAAGGATACAAGCGACAAGGTTACAGTCATACAGTCATAAGTAGGAGGGGATGGGAGATAAGGAGTGATGAGAAGATTAATAGTAATAGTAGTGCACTTACGCAATGAAAGTGATTCCACTTAAACAAAGTTGTTTTTATTCAGACCCACATACAGGCAGTCGAGGTAATCATTCATTTAATCCCCAAAGTTACAATGGCAGTGGAAAAATAAGTTACTTATGACTGGTCCTTGAACTTATGGCCATCACAGTGATCCAAACTGGAGTGCAGCCATCCGCTCCAACCAAGGGTCCCCAAACTTGGCCACTTTAAGACTTGTGGACTTCAACTCCCAGAATCCCTCAGCCAGCTACGCAATGCAAAGCTGGCCGGGGAATTCTGGGAGTTGAAGTCCACAAGTCTTAAAGCGGCCACGGTTGGAGAGCCCTGACCTGAGCGGAGAGGCGTTTCCTCCCTGCTTGGAGGGAAGCGAGTAACGGAAAGGGGGGGGGGGGCAGGTTGGGGGGGGGGGCGGGGCCGCAAGAGGGATGCCCGGGGGGGGAGGGGCAACCTGGAGACTTCCCCCACCCCCTGCCCGCCCCCCACGCCGGACACACTTACGGTAAATGAAGGCGGTGGCGCGCAGCAGCACCAGCCGCGTCAGCCAGAAGGAACCCGGGCGCAAGGAAGGCGCCGGAGGGGCGCGCGGCTCCTGCGGTCGGTGGGGGGCGTCTCCCGCCGGACCCCCCAGCCGCCGCCTAAGTTCCCCACCGGTGCTCGCAGCCATGCCTGCTGGAGGGCCGAGAGCGCATGCGCGGACGAGGGAACGGCCACGGAGCGCGCGCTCATTGGCCGAGGCGCGCGCCAGCGGGAGCTGTCCTTGGGGGGGGGGGTGCGGGAGAGGAGAGGAAGGGGGTGCAAGGCTCGCTTAGCAACGCGGCTGGGGAAGGAGAAGCCCGAGCCGGGATCCGCAGGGCGCAGGGGAAGTTCGGGGTTGGGTAGGTGGGCGGTGGGGAAGCAGAGGCTGCCTTAAGTTGCTAAGTGAAACATTTCTGAAGTTTGTTTGTTTATTTATTTATTTGTCAAAAGCTTACAATACAACAGAAACAAGAATAAACATAAGTTTAAATACAAGAAATAGGAACTGATCATTGGGGACAATAGGACAGGGACGGTAGGCACGATGGTGCGCTTATGCATGTCCCCTTACAGACCTCTTAGGAATGGGGTGAGGTCAAAAGAGGTTAGTCTGAGGGTAAAGGAGTGGGGGTTTGAGCAGGTGACAACACAATCAGGTAGTGAGTTCCAGGCATTGACCCCTCTGTTGCTGAAGTCGTACTTCCTGAAATCGAGCTTGGAGTGGTTTACATTAAGTTTGTATCTGTGGTGTGCTCGTGTTGTTGTTGTTAAAGCTGAAATATTCATTAACTGGTAAGACCTTGAAACATATTTTTTTATGTACTATGCTTAAGTCCAATCTTAGCCGGCGAAGTTCAAGGTTGTCTAAGCCTAGAATCTCAAGTCTGGTGTAGGGTATTCTGTTGCGAACAATGGAATGTAGTACTCTTCTGGTAAAATACTTCGGGACTCGCTCAATTGTATTTATGTCTGATATACAGTGCGAATTCCAGACAGCATTCAAGTATTGGTCTAGCAAAGGTTTTGAATGCCCTAGTTTGCAAATCAGTATTACCAGAGGAGAAGCTTCGTCAAATTAAATTTACAACTCTTAAAGCCTTTTTGGCAATTCTGTTGCAGTGAGCTCTGGCGCTGAGGTCATTGGATATGAGAACTCCAAGGTCCTTGGCAGAGTGAGGGTCATCGACAAGGTCATATCCGCCTAGATTGTATTTGGTATATAGATATTTTTTTTTACCAATGTGTAGGATGGAACATTTGTTGGCCGAGATTAGTTAGTCGTGCCCCCTTTTGCGACTGCTCTTGCCCCATTTGTTAAGTGAATCACTGCAGTTTGTTAAGTGAGTCACACAGTTCTGAAGTGAATCTGGCCTTTGTCAGAAGGTCGTGAAAGGGGAAATCATGTGACGCCCCTGGGATTCCCAACCGCCTGAAATTTGATCACAGGATCATAGGGATGCTACAACGGTCATTAGTGTAAGAAACGGTCATAAGTCATAAGTTGGTGGTACTATTACTAAATTTGCAGATGATACAACAGTGGTGGGACTCATCTCCAGGGGGGATGAGTCTGCCTACTGAGATGAGGTGGACTGGTTGCTTTCGTGCTATGGAGACAATAACTTGGTCCTAAACACCAATAAGACCAAGGAGTTTATAGTGAACTACAGAAGGAAGAGATCAGCCCTTGCTTATCAATGGAGACCGAATGGAGCAAGTGGCCAGTTTTAAGTTTCTGGGTGTTAGCATAAAAGAGGACCTGACCTGGGGTGCCCACATTGCAGCCCTGGTCAAAAGGGCCCAGCAGAGATTATACTACCTGAGGCTTCTCAGAAAACAACAATGGAATGAAAAACTGCTGGTGACCTTCTACCGCTGCACCACAGAGAGTGTTTTAACTTACTGCACCTCTGTATGGTTTGCCAATTGCACAGTGGCAGATAGGACAGCCCTCCAGAGGGTTAACATCATTGCCCAGAGGATCATGGGTTGCCCTCTCCCCTCTTTGGAAGAGCTTTAGAGCTCCCGCTGCCTTAAGAAAGTTCAAAACATTCTCAAAGATCCATCTCATCCTGGGCATCCCTTTTTTTTTAAACTATTACCATCTGGCAGACGGCACAGAATAATAATAAAAACAAGCACAAATAGGCTGAAAAACAGCTTCTATCCCAGGGCAGTAACGATATTGAATTCTGCTGTATAGTGCAGTGTTGGTGCGGTGTTGGGGGGTTTTGGTTCAATGGGTGGAGGGTGAAGGATATGTTTGTGTTTATATTCATGGTCATGTTGTGCACTGAAGGTGGTGTTCGATTTCATTGTACCAGGTGCAATGACAATAAACTAAACTAAATTAAGTCACTTTTTCCACTGCCGTGGTAACTTTGAACAGTCAAACAAACCGTTGTGTGTCAAGTCCTCTCCCCCTGAGGGCATCGCTTCCTCTGGGGTTGGCAAAGGAGAAGCTGGGGGCAAGGGAGAATAGGCAGCTGTGGGGTCCACAGGCTTTTCAGCTGGGCCTGGAAAGACCTAGTCCGTTTTTCATTCCGTTGTTTCCTGAGAAGTCTCAGGTAGTATAAATCTCTGCTGGGCCCTTTTGACCAGGGCTGCAATGTGAGCCCCCCAAGTCAGTTGGCATTGTTAATTTATAGTTCCTGTCCCACAATTTCTGCCATTTGTCTAGTTCTACTGTATAACCAAATTTTTTTTGCCCATGCTCTGACCCATGGGGACTGGAATTGAACTGATGAAACAGAGCAGTATGCTCCGATCATGCTGAGTGGGCCATTTCCTTTCCACTGAAAGTCCTGGACAGAAAGGCTTATAGTGTACACTTGAAACTGAAAGTAAAAGCGCTTTTCTTAAATGCCACCTTCCTTATTTATTTATTTATTTATTTATGTCAAGCATGCTCCGATCATGCTGAGAGGGATTTTTCCTTTCCACTGAAAGTCCTGGACAGAAAGGCTTATAATGTATAGCAATAGCACTTAGACTTATATACCTCTTTACAGTGCTTTACAGCCCTCTCAAAGCAGTTTACAGAGTCAGCCTCTTGCCCCCCCCCAAAATCTGGGTCCTCATTTTACCCACCTTGGAAGGATGGCAGGCTGAGTCAACCTTGAGCCGGTCAGGATTGAACTGCTGTATTGCAGGCAGCCGTCAGTCAGCAGAAGTAGCCTGCAGTACTGCACTCTAACCACTGCACCACTGAGGCTCTATAGGCTTCAAACTGAAAGTAAAAGCGCTTTTGTTAAATGCCACATTCCTTATTTATTTTGTTTGTTTGTCAAGCAAGTATAAGTATGAACATAACATATAAACTTATAAGTATAAATAGGTATAAGTATATATATAATAAATGAGTATGAATAAATGGGGACAGTGCAACAGGGATGGTAGGCACGCTGGTGCACTTATGCACGCCCCCTTACAGACCTCTTAGGAATGGAGCGAGGTCCACGGGAGACAGTTTAAGATTAAAGTTTTGGGGGTTTGAGAATGTAACAACAGAGTCAGGCAGTGCGTTCCAGGCATTGCCCACTCTGTTGCTGAAGTCGTATTTTCTGCCATTGAGTTTGGAGCGGTTTACTTTGAGTCTGTATCTATTGTTTGCCCGTGTGTTATTGCAGTTGAAGCTGAAGTAGTCCTTGACAGGTAGGACGTTGTAGCAGACAATTTTGTGTACTAAGCTTAGGTCAGACCGCAGGCGGCGTAGTTCTAGGTTGTCCAGGTAAAAAACACTCAAAGTCCTGGACAGAAAGGCTGATAGTGTATCCTTCAAACCGAAAGGAAAAGCACTTCTCTTAAATGCCACCTTCCTCATTTGCTTAAGTCAATCGTGTAAAAGTCACAAAATGGCACACAGGCAGAGTGACCTTGGGGTTGTCCAAATTCTGCCAAGCATCTAGCCCATGAATTTCCTCTTTTCTGTGGAAGGCAAGGGGCTTTTTCCAGCTTCAGTGGAACAAGGAAATAATTTTAAAGGGTTGGGTTTGGTCTTTTTAAAGAAAACCTTCCGTTTCTCAAAGTTTGGTGTAATGCTGAAACAGATGATCTAGAAATGGGGAGGTTGGGGGAAGGAGGGTTCTAGTTCTCCCTTAAGGGTGAAAGGCAGCAGAGTGACTTTGGGCCAGTTCCCCTTCTTTCAGTCCAACCTGCCTCGGAGGGTTGTTATTTGGGGGAAAGTAGGAAGGGGTAAGAGCAGAAGTCCCCAAACTTGGCAAACTTTAAGACTTGTGGACTTCAACTCCCAGAATTCCTCAACCAGCCATGTCTTTTTCTCTTATCCCCCAAAGAGGAGAGATTGCAGAGGAAGGGACTGCAAGAGAGTAAGCTATGCTGGCTGGAGAATTCTGGGAGTTGAAGTCCACAAGTCTTAAAGTTGCCAAGTTTGGGGACCTCTGGGTAAGAGCAGTTGTACAAATAAAGGGGGAATAAAAACTAAATTTAGGTCATCTTTAACTTACAAAGTCTCTTGGGGTGAGAACTTCCATTTAACAGATTTAACAGATTAAGAGAGTTGAAAGGAAGGGACCTTTGTAGGTCATCTAGTCCAACCCCCCTGCCCAAGCAAGAGACCCTACACCATTTCTGGAAATTTATTTATTTATTCATTGATCCCATTTTTAAACAGCTCATCTCCTTCAAAGAGGATTGCATTAAGCAAGATGGCTGACCAGTGAATGTTGCCCAGCGCTGTGGCCTATTTTGCCATGGTTGTTAAGCGAACTGCCCTAGTTGTTAAGAGAATCCAGCTTCACCCAGTGACTTTGTTTGTTGGAAGCCAGCTGGGAAGGTCAGAAATAGCAACCCCAGGACCATGAGACAATGCAACCATAGTGAATGCATGACAATTGCCAAGCTCCTGAACTGTAGGTTTGCTGCAAAAGTTTGTAAGTGGGAAGATGGGTTGTACTCACTTTTTTCAGTGCTGTTGTATGGGTGGGGTGGAATGGAATGGAATGGAACAGGACAGGAGAGAACAGAACAGAATAGAGAATATAGTAGAACGGAACAGAACGGAACAGAATAGAACAGAATTGGAAGGGACCTTGGAGGTCTTCTAGTCCAGCTCCTTGCTCAAGCAGGAGAACCTATACCATTTCAGACAAGTGACTATCTAGTTTCTTCTTGGAAACAAAATTTTATGTTGGTTCTT